TAATGCCAGTGCCCAGCAGAAGGGCTTTAAATAGCAGCATTAAAAAAAGCATCACTGGCATTGTTTTCTCTTAAAGAGATATTTTCAAATAACTTCAAAGAGGTGGAGAGCAATAAGGCTATGTCACAAATGTATCCAGCTTCAATAACACTGTTCCCAGGAACCATAATCCTTAATGCTGAAGGGTAAGAAAGGACTGGGCTTAGAGTTCATCACCTAAGTACCTCCAGTGGACACATCCCTGCTGCTGGAGCAGAGTTCTCACTACACAGATGGGGCACAGAGAACTAAGCCGCCCTTCTTTTCTCTTCCCAGGAACTGAGCTCAATTTCATGACAGTGCGAGCTGGCAAGTATGAAGCCCTCCATTCCTGGTGCTGGTAGCTCTGTTCACGTAGGCTTGTCCCATTTGTGATTGGCCTCTTCTTTCTCACCTGTAGACTAACATGGGAGTCAGAATCATCCAGATGCCATCCTTATTGATGAATTTCTCTTCTGAATAGAAAGTAGATGGTCACATTCTGCCAGGCAGGACAAAGGCCCTGCCAACATTGGAGTTTGTGCTTAATACATAGATTAATTAATTAATAATTAATAGACAATAATTAATTTCTATTAATTAATAATAATATATATTTTTTGAGACAGAGCCTCAAGCTGTCCCCCTGGGTAGAGTACCATGGCATTACAGCTCACAGCAACCTCCAACTCCTGGGCTCAAGCGAGTCTCTTGCCTCAGCCTCCCAAGTAGCTGGGACCACAGGCGCCCTCCACAACGCCCGGCTATTTTTTGGTTGCAGCCGTCATTGTTGTTTGGCGGGTCCGGGCTGGATTCGAACCCGCCACCTTAGGAGTATGTGGCTGGCTCTTTAGCCGGTTGAGCTACAGGCGCTGAGCCTAATTAATAATAATTAATTAAAAATCTATTAATCTTAATAGATTTCCCCCTCCCATCAGTGCAAGCAACACATTCTGAATGCCCAAGGGTCCCACTGCACAGCTGAAATGCCACATCTGCTCTGGTAAGAGCTCTTTGGGAACCTCCCACAAGCGGTGGCCTTGTCATCACTGTTCTTACTTCGTGGTAGCATTTGAGGCTACTGTCACCCTTTCCTTTACATCTGTGAAAACATAGTCCTGACTCTTAGCTCTCTGGTCTCTCCTTCTCTGGCTCTGCTTCTTCATGATGCCCCCAAAGTTGTCCCACTTGACTGCGTACTTCATGGCTCAGATTTTTATTCTGTGCTCACATTTCCACAGTTATGGCTTCCTCTTTTATTTTATTTTATTTTATTTCATTTTATTTTTTGAGACATTCTCACTATATCACACTCTGTAGAGTACCCCAGCATCACAGATCACAGCAACTTCAAACTCTTGGGCTTAAGCGATTCTCTTGCCTCAGCCTCCCAAGTAGCTGGGACTACAGGTGCCCACCACAACGCCCGGCTATTTTTTGGTTGCAGTTGTCATTGTCGTTTAGCTGGAACCCTCCAGCTTTGTAGCTCAGTGAGTAGGGCGCCGGCCACATACTTCTCTCTTATTTTAAAGTGGTTACTTCTCAAGTCTATATCTCTACATTCTAGTCCCTCATCTTACCATCCACCTGATCTGCCTTCACCTAAAACAACTTGTATTCAACTTGTTGGACCCATCTTACCTCCCCAAATAGTTCCCTCTTTAGACTTCTATTTTTCTCAAAATTATAGCCAATATTTTCTCTTTCTGGTTCAAAATCTTGGCATCAACTTTGACTTTCTTGTTTTCCATCTACAGACAGAAACCGAGTGATTCACCTTTTGTAATGTCTCCTGTCTCGTCTTGTCTATTTTTATTATTAACCTCACCCATCCAGCCTCCATCGCATTCTCTACATAGCAGTTTGTAACTCTATGTTCTGACTCCTCTTTTTCCATCTGTCCCCGCCACGACTCGTAGATAGCACCCCAATCACAATGTTTACAATGTTAAATGGATCCCTATTGTATATCTAATAATTCCAGATGCTTTAGCCTAATATTTATGAATTTCCCAGTTAATCAACAATGGAATTTATTTCCAGAAGTGGTCTGGGATATGTCAGGAGTCTACATCAACATTAAATTACATGTTAGAAGATCAGGATGTGGACTCGGGCATCCAAAAGATGTGCTCCTTGCTTATAGACATGTTACATAATATTAGAAGAATTATTTTTGGCTTTCTTGGATGTGATAATGCTCTTGTAATTACAAAGGAAAGTGTCCTTAATCTTAGGAAATATGTGTTGAAGTACTTAGGGATGAAGTATTATGATTTCAGAAACTTGTTTTTGAGTGATTTGGCCAAAAAATGCATGTGTGCTTGTGCATGTGGGGGGGGGGGCACTTGAGAGAGAGGAGAGAGGTACAGCACAAAAATGGTAAAATGTTAAAAATTGTTGAATCTAAAATAGAATATTTTGGGCGATCATTGTATATATTACTTCACCTCTTCTGTGTTTGAAATATTTCCCCCAAAAAGGTTGGGGAAAACTCACCCATGATAAATTGGCAAATCCTAAAGTAAAATAAAATTTTAAAATTCTGCACTGCTGACTTTTGGATGCCAGCCACCCACCCCATTCCAGACTAACACAATGCCGAAATTGTTACAAATTCTCCAGGCCAGGTAACAAACTGGCAACATACAGTTCTTAGCTTGTCAGTTTTCATGTTTTCTCCCTGGCTCAAATAGAGTGTTGTTGTCTTTTTAAATTAAATTTGTTGCCAGTCTTTAAAATTCTGAGGATTTTTATTTTGACAAATTGTAAAATAAAATACTTTTCATTATAATGAAATGTAAAATACTTCTTTAATAATTACAAGGGTAGATCACTTCCTGTGAGATGAGCACTGTTTTAAGAGTTTTCTGTATATTTAACTCATTCCTCACAATAGCAGTGTAGGACAAGTGTAATCATTATGCTCCCTTTCCTCCCTTTACAGATAGGGAACCAGATGAACAAAGAGGTTAAGCAACTTTCCCAAAGTCTTTTTTTTTTTTTTTTTTTTTTGTCACAGAGCCTCAAGCTGTCCCCCTGGGTAGAGTGCTGTGGCATCACAGCTCACAGCAACCTCCAACTCCTAGGCTCAAGCGAGTCTCCTGCCTCAGCCTCCCAAGTAGCTGGGACCACAGGCACCCGCCACAATGCCCGGCCATTTTTTGGTTGCAGCCGTCATTGTTGTTTGGGGGGCCCAGGCTGGATTCGAACCTGCCACCTTAGGTGTATGTGGCTGGCGCCTTAGCCACTTGAGCCACAGGTGCTGAGCCTCCGAAGTCTTGATAACTATTGACTGTAGTGTCACTGCTGAAACCTACGCAGTCTGTCTCCTAACCACAACACTCTATATTACCACTTACAAAAGTCTGCCCACTTTTTCTGAAAAAAATCAGGACTGGAAACACATTCCACATAAGACCAATGGACCAGAGCTGAATAATTCCATTCCCCTGAAAGCCAGGCCTCTCTTCTGCTTGCCACACTCTCTGCTCAGTTGGCTTCTGGGGCCTTTGGGGTTTTGTCACCTGCTCCAGCCACAGCACAGCTAATTCACAAAGGGAAATGGCACAAGATGGATGGATATTTTACAGGCACTTACATACTGCCTCAGACCAAGCTGGGTATCAGGCTGACATCTAAGTAGACAGGAAGGCCCAGCGGGAGAGAAGGTTAACTAGGAGGTAACTTGGTCTAGAATGGGGGTGGGAGAGGGTGTTTGGAATGCTGGATAATTGTCTGTAGATAATGGAAAGAAGTTATAGAAAGTAGAAGTTACACATCCCATGTTTGGTAATATGCCCCATAGGAGGGCAGTGTGGGTCAGTGGAAGGAGCATGGGGCAGCAGGGACCAGGCTGCAAAGCTAATTCAATCAATGTGTGACTTTGAATAAGTTACTTAATTTTTCAAGCTTGTTTTCTGGACTGTAAAATGGGTGCAAGGATACCTCCAGGTGAAAGGAACTAAATGTGAGAGGATGTCAAGTGTCCTTGACCCCTGTGAATATAGATGACCACAATGCTTTTCATTCATAATCATATTTTCATGTTTTTCCCTAGAGTTAAGAAGCAAGAAGTTAGGAAGCTATGGTAAGTACCAGGTGTTTATACAGCGTTGGCTTTCAGAGGTCCGGGTCTTGTTTTATTTAGATTATAGCTGAAGCAGCTGGCAGAATTGTCCTTATGGCTTGATGTTAGTAATCAGATTTTGTCAAACCTGAGATGCTGAACAGAACTTGGAAGAAATTGATACAGCATGGGGAAAGCCCAGAGCTGAGAAAGATCTTCGTGCAAGAATTTTTAGTGAAAATTTTAAAATAAAATAGCAAAAAAATCCAGCAGTAACCTAAATGGCTAACAATTCCTTCTTTCAGCAACTGTTATTGAGTACCTACAAAGGTCTAGGCTTGGTGCCAGATGCTGGAGATGCAAATGTGAGCAAACCCAGGCAGGACCACTGTCCTCCCCAAACGCCCTCTGGTGGTAGTTGTTTAAATAACAGCACACCTGTATTCTGGAATGTTACATTGCCACGTAAAGAAAATTTGCAAAGAATAATTAATAAAACAGTCTAGTAGTCTCGTGTCCTAATACCAATTTAAAAATCAGGACACAAATTATATTCATAGTATTAGCTATGTCATTTGAGTCACCCATAATCCACAACTCAAAAATAACAATTTTCAACAGGGTAGTCCATTACATTCCACTTTTGTTTTCCTATTCTAAACATATCTACTATATACATAGAATCAACTGTAAGAAAATTTTATAAAGAGGGTTGATAATTGTTGTTCCTGGATTGTGGGATTATGATTTATTTTTGCTTTCTTCTCTGTGGTTTTCTATATAGCAAAAGGTTTCCACAAAAAGCATGAATAAACAGGAATTAAGTCAAGTTAAACACAATCACAGACATGTGTAGAGCTGCTTTTCCAGCACTCACTTGTTTTCTCTTTCCCCTTGCCCTTGGTTTGTGCAGGGCAGGGCACGCAGGCCCCCACCCGAGCAGCACAGGCACTGTGAGGGCTGCTTCAACCGCCACTGCCATGCTCCTGTGGAGCCCAAGATCTCCTGCCTGGTGATAAGCTGCCACCTGCTCTGTGGTGCTACCTTCCACATGTGCAAAGAGGCAGAGCACGAGCTCCTCTGCCCGTTAGAGCAGGTTCCATGCCTCAACTCCCAATATGGCTGCCCCCTTTCCATGTCCCGCCACAAGCTGGCCAAGCACCTGCAGGCGTGCCCTGCCAGCGTGGTCTGCTGCTCCATGGAGTGGAATCGCTGGCCGAATGTGGACTCTGAAACCACCCTTCATGAGAACATCATGAAAGAGCCCCCCAGTGAGGAGTGTTTGGACACAGCCCTGGCCCTGCAGGACCAGAAGGTCCTTTTCAGATCTTTGAAAATGGTAGAACTTTTCCCAGAAACTAGAGAGGCTGCTGAGGAGGAACCAGATGTGAATGGGGAAGCCAGCTTGGAAGACATGGGGGGAGCGGTGGGTGGAGTGGGTGCCGGTTTGGTACCCCACAGTTGCCTGCCAGCAACTAATGGGGACGCCGCAGAACTGACTCAAGAAGAGCGAGAGGCGTTAGCCAAAACCAAAGAAGGGATGGACCTGCACAAGTTTGGCCAGTGGGAAAACATGTTCAGCAAAGAGCATGCAGCATCTGCTTTAGCAAATTCATCAGGAAGCTGCGAGAGCAAGAGCAGGAATGGCCCAGGGGAAGAGCAGATTTCTAGAGGCAACGTGGCAAAGGGAGAGGGCACTGCCAACGGGAAGGAACCACAGGACCTTCACACAGTCATGGAAACGACAGGGCTTGCCCCTTGGCAGGATGGTGTTCTGGAAAGACTGAAAACAGCTGTGGACGCCAAGGACTATAATATGTATCTAGTGCACAATGGGCGGATGCTTATTCACTTTGGTCAGATGCCGGCTTGTACGCCTAAGGAGAGAGACTTTGTTTATGGCAACCTTGAGGCTCAGGAAGTCAAGACGGTTCACACCTTCAGAGTTCCTGTGAGCTACTGTGGAAAGCGAGCTCGAATTGGAGATGCCATGTTGAGCTGTAGGCCGAGTGAGCACAAGGCAGTGGATACTTCAGATCTGGGCATCACTGTGGAGGACCTGCCAAAATCAGATCTCATCAAGACTACCCTCCAGTGTGCTTTGGAAAGAGAACTCAAAGGTCACGTCATCTCTGAATCCAGGAGCATTGATGGACTGTTCGTGGATTTTGCCACCCAGACGTACAACTTTGAGGCAGAACAGTTTTCCGCTGGAACGGTGCTGGCTGACCTAACCACCGCCAGTCCCAGGGGACTCCACGTGGAGCTCCACAGTGAGTGTGTGACCAGGAGACACAACAAGAGCAGCTCTGCTTTCACTTTCACTTGCAACAAATTCTTCAGGAGGGATGAATTCCCCCTGCACTTCAAGAACGTTCACACAGACATTCAGTCATGTATCAATGGCTGGTTCCAGCACCGATGCCCCCTCGCCTACTTGGGATGTACATTTGTCCAAAACCATTTCCGCCCCCCAGGGCAAAAGGCAAAAGTCATCTATAGTCAGGAGCTCAAGACCTTTGCCATCAAGCCAGAGGTTGCTCCAGAGCTGAGTGAGGGAAAGAAAAACAAACATCTCTCAGGTCACAGAGGAAAAAGCCAGAACGGTCTAACCAGCCTGCCCCTGGAGATTTTGCAGTACATTGCTGGGTTCTTAGACAGCATCAGCCTGTCCCAGCTCTCCCAGGTGTCCGTGCTGATGAGAAATATCTGTGCCACTTTGTTACAAGAGAGAGGGATGGTCCTTCTGCAGTGGAAGAAGAAGAGGTATTCCCATGGAAGAAGCTCCTGGAGAGTCCACAGAGAGGCAAGTAAACACTCGTTTATTCTTTCATTCATTTCTCAAATATTTATTTACTTGTTTATTTTTTGCACAAGGTTGAAATATTTTATTATTGTAGAATCGTTCTACACTGTACAAAACCAGAACAATTCAACAGCATGGGGGGCACAGCACACAAATGATCAAGTATTTATTGTGAGCTTTTATGTGCCAAGCACTGTTACTAGGCATTGGGACAATTGCTGAGAATAAAACTGACTCAAGGAGGTCAGTGTAGGAGGGAATACAGACCTAGAAACAAATATCAACACAGATGGTACTGCCTGTTTTTTTTTTTCTAATGTATCCTGAATATCTTGTTTTTGCTCACGTGAACTATCCTCCATCCTTCACTACCCTGGTCTGTCTCCTGGAAGCTGATCTCTATAGATTGCCTCACCTTGCTCCCTTGTCCCCCAGATGCTAATCTAGGGGGTGTATCAGCAGGAGATGGGGGTCAGGGGAAGAATGAGGGTGAAGTATATTTTCTCCTGGCTTCCTCCCTGCGCACTTCCTCCCCTTCATGATGCTTTGAACTGCCTCTGTCCCTCCAGTAAAGATGGCCCTCTCAGGGGGGCTCTCTCCACGCAGTTACTCGGGGTTCTAATGATCTCCTTCTTCCCTTCCAGGCCTTGGGCAGTAACTCCCTAGCCCTGGGGACTGTCCTCAATCTTTTATAGAGCATAAAAATGCCCACACTTTTATAAAGCATTCCTTTAAAAATCCTCTCAGATAACTCAATTTGAGTGTTCCATCTATTTCCTGCTGGACTCTGATTGATACAGTAAGCCAAAGAATTCTCCTTCGTCTCATGTCAACTAATTTTTTTTTCTTTTTTTTTTTT